CCTGGCTATCTCCAGCACACATACTGTTCCCACAGACTGAGCCTGTCATCACCAGCTGTGCCACCTGCTTGGACTCCTGGGGCCCTTCTGCAACTCCTATTACAGAGCCATTTACTTGTAATAGCCTCATCTTGGCAGTGGGACAAGGCAGTCAGCAAAGATGCTGCTTCTCTCTGGATCTGAAGAACACGATATCCCTTCTGAGGCTTTTGAAGGTGCTGATACCACCTCTCTGTCAGTTCCACCTCTCCCCACCAGCACAGCCCCAGACATGCTGTAGACCCTTATACATACCTCTCCTTAGATCATCCTCACTCCTGATTGTGAGCAGAAGCCTGAACTGCACAGCTGAGGAAAGGAGAGAACAATACCACACTGTGCCGTCTGATGCAACCCACAGAGCTATAAGTTCACATTTATTCTATAGAAGCCAGAAAAACCTGTCATAAACTGAACCCCACTTCTTGCTGTTTGCTTGGAGATACTTGGGCTGCACCTGGGAACAGCTGTGGATTTTCTGACAGAGAAGAGATTGGCTACAGCTGACAGAGCTCCCCAGCTACTTGTAGCTTTTCCAGGTGCTTGGAGGAAGAGCTGAAGATATGGTGGGAGGGTGGTGTCCAAGGTGCTCATTTACCCAGACCACCTCTGCCTTCTGTAGTTAAAGACAACTGGAAGGCCCAGGCAGTACTGGAGGAGCTTAGGAGTTTCCTAAGCCCATGATCCTTGTAATTCTGTGTCCCATTTCAGAGAGCTGACAGTCTCAAATGCGTAGGCAGGAGGCATAGGAAATCTTATTTTGGCAACTGTGGAACAACTTTCCCCTTAGGAGAATGGTGCTGGAATATGTCTGAAGTTCCAGGAGATGAAAAATGGTTTGATGTGTGTGTACAGCAGTGGTCCACAATCTGGAAAACCTAGCACTGACCAAGATTCTTCTTATAAAAAGGGCTTGTGTCCCAAAACCTCAATGGAATAGGCAATGATGGTTTTGAAAACAGGAAAGAGTTAAATATATATTTAATGATATAATAAGTAAGTTTACATGATACAGTTGGCTGTAAAAAGCACAGCTTCACAGGAAAAGCTGCTTTTGCCATTCTCCTATTTTGACCTGGGCCAGGCTGGACAGTTTGCTCTTCAAGGGAAGGATGTGGTTAAAAAGGAAGAGAAAGGCCTGCACTGTAAGGCAGTACTGTCTCCCTATTATAGGCTTATTCTTCCACAGCCAAGGTGGAACTGGCAGATGGCCTGCAGACATTTCCTAGTACAAGTGAATACAGGGAAAAAAGATACAACGCATCACTGCCCAGAGAAAAGAGAAACTCCCTCACTCATATAGGTTATGGTGCAGTAAAGTGAAGGATCCATTTTTTTAAAAAAATCAGGATAAAGAATAGCAGTTTTAAATACATTTCCCTTACCTACAAATGTCCCAAACACTCCTTCCTCTCCCTCAAGATTAATCTGCTATATCTTCTCCACACATCCCTGAACAATATTTATCTCATGTATAGCATGGAGCTGATGTAGCTTCATGTTCTAGTTCAAAGAAGCTTACACATTTCTTTCCCAAACCTGCTGCAAAAGCAATTCCATTTCTAATATGTCTTTTGTCTTTTGGTTCTTATTCTCTACTGCCCTTTTTAGGCTCTCCAAAACTTCTAAACTTCGTGGAACAAGCACCCAACTTTGTAAAAGCTTGTGTAAAATTTTTGCCAGTTGGGTAGGCTGAGCTTTTATGCAACCAAGCTAACAAGTCTCAGCTGTAGGAATGCATATTGCTTGGCCTCTCAGAGTAAACCATCGCGTGTTTATTCCCATCAAGTTATCTATCCAATGCATAAATGATAGATTTTCTCAGGATGGTAGTTAAAGCAGATTTGCTGTCTGTGCTGACAGAGCAAAGCAGGCTACCACTTTTCTACCACAAGAGAGTAAAGCAGAAACGTTGTTAAATTTGGAGGAAGACTCCTGGGAGCCAACATCCGAACAGCTATAGGAGCCAGAAATTCCCCAGTCAGCAATGCACTTCTAAACACAAGCCTGACTGACTGGAATAACTTATGTGCTTAAAATTACATGCACACTGAAGTAATTGCCAAACTGGGGCCAGCAGCTATATCTGACATGGTGAGCCAAAACATTCCCGACCCCAGTATGTACCAATGTTTCTGCTGATGAACCTGCACAAAGACCTGTGCCATTAATATGTAACTGAAGCCCTTGACTGAAAGGCTATGAAAGACCTACTGCTAAACATTAAACTAGACATTTGTCCACCTGGACAAAGATCATATGGGTGCATGTGCAGCACATCAAAGCCTGATGTATCCGGTAAAGACAAATGAGCTGGCTGGCACTCCTTTCAGATTTTCTGAACAGCTGTGTGCGTGCTTTCAGAACATACTCTGATGACACCCAGGACAAGCAGATTCCAAATTCAACTCCTGAATGAGGACATGAACCTCAGACTGAAGGGAATTCCTCTGGTTTGTTTTCTGTTGAGCTTTTCATCTGCATTTGCTTCCAGCCAATGTAACAACACCTCATCAAAATGATTTCTAAGAATATCATAGCATTGCTCAGAGTACCTGCCACATAATTCAGGGCTAAGCACCACAGCAAGGGAATTAGCCCTTCGTTTCCATTCATGGCCCTTAGAAGAAAGAGTTCATTTCAGAATAAAATCTAATATCTGCCCCTTTTCAAATCCAGTGGGTAGCCGAAAATTCAGGGCTGGCAAATCAAGCAGACAGACTGCAGGCAGAGAGATTGCACACACAGTCAGGATGTTCTCTGGCATGATCCTATTTATGAACAGCAAACATGAATTCCTCCTTCTGTCAGTAGAGGAGAAATACATGAAACAGGGACAATGTCCGAGGTCACAGCTGCAAATGCCTTTGAAGGTGAAATTGTTGGTGTGGAAAACCTTTACTACTGCCCTAATCAAATTTCACTGTAGGGCCAAACTAAAAAAATAAAAAAGGATGCAATTAAAAATTAAAGTCCAAAACTGTTCCTGAAAACTCCTACTCAGCTGCTCCATAACCTTGAAGCTGTCTGAACTATCTGGCTGACTAAGTTGCCTAAAGCTGCCTTTGCACAGACTCAGAACTGCCTGTCCTGGCAAAACGGAACAGGTCACTGAAATAGTGTCTGCCTGGACAGTACCAAAATCCAAAGAGCAAGTGCTCTTGCAGGCCTGTGTTGCACACTTTTATTTCACACCACCAAGCCTCCACCTTTTCTCGTGCTTCATAAGAACTTCAGTTACAATGACATGTTAAGGAAGAAAGAAAAAATAGTTAGATGACTGCAAGGACACGCAGGTGTGAATTCCAAGTGACATTCCCACATGCTAAAGAAGGACAAGATCTCAGGAGTGCTGCTGTCCACACCATTTCCTCTGAGCTACTCCTGGTGAAGTTGCATTGCCAAGTATGAAAGCATTAACTGCGCTTAACACTGAGCAGGTTCAGAATTCCCCAACCACCTAACAGGTATCCAGGAGCCTACAAAGATGCACCTGATTACTGGATTTATGAGATATTATCTGCACTTATATACACTGTAGGCACATGAATGGTGAGCCGGCCTGGAGCATGAGGAGGTCTAGTGACCTCGTGCTTTTTCTCAAAAAATTGCCGTTACTGGGAATGCATTTTAGTGAACTAGAAGGTGAATTAGAACCATCCACCTTGATGATATCAACAGACTATCTAAACCTGGACCACACCATGAGAGATATTTTCTTTGATTCCGAAGGACAGTCACAAATCTTCTGAGGGAAAACACACAGACCACAACTTCTGTGTTTTGTCTGTGGAATAATTAGTGATACCACCTCTGTTAAAAGCTCCTTGTACAGGAGAACTGGGGTGAAGCAAACTGTATATACTACTACCTGTACTTAAATGTGCCCCTTTATGATTACATCAGTCAGTCTATTTATTAAAATAATTTTGTTGGGACTTTCTTTAGCTTTTAAAACAAAAAAAATTAAAGGCCAGAGTAACTGCAACAGTGACTGTCTTTCTAGGTGCTCCTCATCACAGCCTGGCACCAAATCAGCAAGAAGGAGTTTCTTACTGCACTTATTTTCCATGCCTGTGCCATCAGGGCTGACTTAATCCAATCAGTGCAAGTTCACTTGCTGTGTCTTCTGCTGCTGATCATGGTTAAGAGGTTTTTACTCTATGGACACTTAATCCTATGTCTCTGTCAGAGTTCCACCTATCTCAGCTCTTCATCTATCTAATTATTACAGAATGCAGTCTGACTGTGTAAAAGAGCCAAGTTGGAAAAAAAAAATTAATAAAGTAGATCAACTGGTAGAACTGACATGACAAGAACTTCTGGAGAAAAAAAGGTTATAAAATGTAATCAGACCAAACATCGCTTAATCAATCTAATTTAGCCCCTCTCACTGTGCCCCAAGACCAACTGCTCTTTGGAGGAACAACAGCCTTTTTGTGGCAGGGTTTGTATGTTGCCTGGCCCTTTATGCTGACAGGAGTCTCAGGTGCTGTTGTGATAAAAATAATAAAAAACAAAATGAAAGAAGGTATGCAAAATCTTCTTAATTCTTCAAAGTAAAGCCTGTTTTCATTTGTTTGTTTTACAGCCTGAATATTACCACACTGTCAAGCTCATCTCCCTCAAGACACTTGATGGTTAAATTTTGCAACTAATTATGAGCGTTGGTTAGGAAAAGGAGTTTTTTTAATTTTTACTAAACCTCTCCTGGGCTTTAGGTGCTATTGAGGATACAGGTATCAATAAAGATAATTTGATTTGCAGCCAAATGTAATTTAACCACTCATAATGCAGTTCCTTCAGAGTCTGCCATAACAGTGTAAGCATCTATAATGTTTGCAAAAATTTCCGGTCTTCTTTTTTCCAAGAGAATACTGATCCGCAGATAGGAAAGAGCAGTAAAAATTGCCCCTTCTCAGGCCAGGCTATGACTTCCCATTCAAAGCCAGTGCCACTTATTGTCTTTGAAAGTATTTATATTTCATCACTCTCTAAAGCCTCAAAGCAAAGCAGAGCTTTGTTAGGCCTGGCATTACATAAGGCAGAGGGAGAGAGAGCTTTTGTCCTGAAGTGCTTTCAGTCTAAGTAGGAAAAACAAAAAGAGGATGTAAAAGGAACAGAAGGAAATAAATGACTTGTCTGAGATCATACAGCCAGTCAGGAATGCAGTGGTCTTGCCTGTAATACTCAATAAAGTCAGTCCTTTTTTCAAAAGAAAAATATAATTAATGTGATAACCTGTTTCTGTCCCATTTCCACTGTAGAAAACATATAGTGCTGTCATATAATTTCAGTACTTGACAACTACAAGGATTTAAGGAGCTTTAATTGCTGGTTCTTTCCCACTGTGTGAAAACTGAAGCTGAAAGTCTGATTCCTGTTTGGAGGAACTGTGTTGGGTAGAGAGGTTTATGATCATTTCACATTTAACTGGCTCCCTACCCCCAGCACTGGATTTTATTAGGTCAGTGTTCCAAAGACATGGCTATGATGTCCAATAAGGACTATGGCAGTGTTCAAACAAACCTTGTACTCAGAAGAGCACAATACAAGAGGCTTCTTCTCAGAGATATCCCATTACATACACTCATTTTCCACTGAGACTGAATTAGTCAAAACCTATTCAATGTACTTACATTAATGCTACAAACTCCTTTGGATTGCAAATCAGATTGGCATAAACAGGAAGAAAAGGTTTGTTCAGACATTAGGAACAATTCAGGCATCCAAGCTCACAACAGTTATGACTCAATCTGGCTCGATTTCTGGCAGATTAAAATGTTTGCACCAAATAAAGCATTAATAATAGTATTGCCTTTGTCTGCCTCTTGCACCCCACTGCTGCTGAAGCTGTAGGAGACAATCTTCCCACCCCTGACACTCACAGAGACTTCACCTTCAGCTTGCTGCTCATGGGAGATTTTCTGGAGGGGCAAGGCTGGGCTCAGTGATGCAGAAGACTCTTCAGGGAGCTCCCAGCTTGCCAAGTCCCAGGGTCAGCATAGTGAGATAGTTTCTATTCTTTAAGTTGTTCTGATCCAACCACTCTTCTCTAGAAATGATAACAAAGTGGTGTTCTCATTAACGCATTTGATGAATCACACTATAAAGGGTGCAACTCTGACCTTTTTGTTTTGCTTTATTCTTGGAAGAAGAGCTAACAAGGCTGATTTCCTCACGCTGTAAGAATGCATTATCATTGCTTTGGCCCACTGAGTAGGATGCTGTCATCCTTTTGAAACAATAGGGATATTCTTAATTTACAGTGAAAAGAAGCTTAATAGAAGTTTGTGTGATGTGATGTAATTTGGGGGAAACAAACTCCCTTCTCTTTGTTTTGTTTCTGCACCCACTACACAGTTAAGACAATGTTTTTCAAGCAACTGTAGGTAAGTAGCAATTACAGTACCGTGACTTTTTATGCACTTTAGCCAAAGGAAGTTTTGCTTTAACATGCATAAAATGAGTGATGCAGAGACACAATTACAGTCCCTTCCATTGAGAAGCACACAAAATACCAGACTACAGTGAGCAGCCTGATATCCTTACACACTCTCCCACTCTTTGCTCCCTATGATACTTCAGTTTGTGCTGCTTAGTGGCAACTGGTGTTCTCACCACTGGAGAGACTGCCCTCCATTCCCCAGCAATACAGGAAGCTGACTTTTGTACCATCTGTCACTGCATAAAACTACATTACCTCACCACAACTCCTCCTGGGACATAAAGTGTTAGACTTCGTAGCTTCTGAAGTTTTACTTTAACAGTATCCACCTACTTCATCTTTTTTTCCCCTACTTACGTTTCAGAAACTCAGGCGGCAAGAACACACCATTTACGCAATGCAGAATGTCTCCAGCAGTAACACAGCACAAATGGACTCCTTTGGAAAACATAATTGCTGGGTTGGAGTTTTCAATACATTTCTGAAAACATAATCTCTTATAATTTGAGTCCTGACTATGCTACCACCTACTAACACATAGAAAGACTCGCTGTAGTGGAACTGCTCTTTAGTCTCACCGTGATTAACACCTGACACAAGAGATGTAAATTCCCCAGCAGCTGTGAGCTAGGATTAGAACAACGTTGAGGTTTTTGTGGGTTTGAGCTGGATTTTTTCTTCCAGTGATGAAGAAAAACAGAAAGCCATAAGAAACATGGGAGGCAATATTTTTTCCTGTTTTCTCTTTCTCTCTTCCCATTTCTCAAACACAAGAGATTTTTTTTTTCCTTTCAGAATTTCCTTTGGAAATTTTAAATGCTGATGGGGAAATTTGTGCAATGATTTTTGGAGAAATCTCCCTTCCCGTACTTCGTCCGCTCTGCCAAATTTATACTTCCTTAACTACCTGCATCACTAGGTAATTCCTAAAATACAAATCACAGATTATGAAACATTGGCTGTAGGTCTGGCTGATTATGTGATCTTGACACCTTTTTGCAACTTAGTAACTAACCTGGATAAATATGTGAAAATATCTTCTTTCTTGACATTATATTTCCAAGCAGGCAATGGCGATTCCACAAGAGTTTTTATCAATTGTACATGGGAAGCAAGGAGGTAGGACTCAGCATTACCAGCTCCCAAATATTTAGGGGAACGTTTCTTGCTCCTCTCTCCTTGTCTCCAGTAGAATCAACAAGTTTACATGAGATCATTGAATTTCCTGCTATAATTCTAGCCCTCATATGGCCATATAAAATTTGGAAATCACGATACCTAACATTTCTGTTATTTTGTGAACTGCTTTAGTTTAAAACTAATGTCTGATTCTGGTGGAGGTATGGGTTGAGGTACCTGGAAATAGCAAAACGTTTTGTCTGTGCTGTAAAAAACCTTGTATACAGACTACAGAACATTATTCTAGGTGAAATCCTAAGGTACTGAGTTGTTCTAGACAACAGACAGATCTTGATGATTCAGATGCTTTGAATTTCTATGAGTGCTGATATACAAAAGTTAATGAAATACAAATCAAGTATGCATCTGAAGTCTTTCAGTATGCAGGAGGTTTGCCATTCTGTCCTCAGCTTCAAAAACTCCTAATTAGCAGCTGGTCCAATCTTTTAATGAGTCTGTAACATCATTTGACTCTGAAGCCACATGCTGTTCAGATTGCCTTTCCTATTTTAATGTGAATTAAATTAGGGTTTAACTTTTACTCATCTCCCAACTTTCTCAGCTGTGAATAATCCTCACAGCTCAGTGACTTGCCTGGTATTTGCTACCTGGGACATGCTGCTAAATTGCTACTACCTGTCCTAACAAGCCCTCTGACTGGGCCAGCTGACAAATGTCTAAAAACAAAATGAAAGGGGAAACCAGCAACAAATTCTCCTAAGCTTAATTGGGTGGTGTGAAAAACGGGTTACCTCATCAGCCTTTGTAATTTTCAGGGATTAATTAAAGGATAATGTTTGCTGCAGAGGAGTTTATGAGGCAATAAATAGCTTTTGCGGCTGATTAAATGCCAAAGCAAAGCTGATAAAGGCATCTAATAATTGCAAAAGTCATTTAGTGCTTTGAATACATCTCTGCCGCGGATGCAAGCCTTACTCTGTGACAGATCAGCAGCAGACTAACGAAATGCAGAGGAACCCCCATTGCCTCTAGAGACCCTGAACGGGTAAACAGATAAATCTGCAAAGTGTGCAACTCAGCCCCAAATCCAGGCTGATCCTCACCTGGCAGGAATCCGACAGGATGCAGATGACTCTGATGATTTTGCTGCTCTGCAAACACTCCAGCAGCACAAAGCTGCCTCCCCGGGCCCGGCACCCCCATCTCGGCTCCACAGCCCCCAGGCCTTGCCCACCTTGCGCTGGGGTCTGAGGTGTGGGTCAGTTTTGGGGCTGGCAAACACGGGTGGGGGGTGAAATGGGGAGAGGGGGGTTTCGAGGCTGGGTCACACAGGGTGGTGGTGACCATTGGTGGGACCTCAGAGGCGGCAGGGACCGTGATGGATCCCACACCATGGTCACCCCTGGGAGCTGGTGTGGCTGCTGGCACGGCCTCACACGCACTGAGGGTCTGTCTGTCCATGTCTGTCCCCTGCGTGAGTGAAGTGGGGACAGGGTGAGTGTGAACCCCCAGTCCTGAGGAGCAGGGAGGGACTCGTGGCCCTGAGGCCTTTTCTTCTGTTATTTTTATTTTTGTTTTATTTTGAGCGCGAGGGATAGCAAGGGCATGAAGGCAGGGAAGGGTTATGCTGGATATTTGGAAGAGGTTCTTTACACAGAGGGTGATTGGGCACTGGAACAGGCCCCCCAGGGAAGCAGTCAAACCTGACAGAGTTCAAGAAGTGTTTGGACAATGCTCTCAGGCACATGTTGGGATTCTTGGGCTGTTCTGTGCAGGGCGAGGAGTTGGACTTCAGTGATCCATATTGGTCCCTTCCAATTCAGGATATTCCATGGTTTTATGATTCCATGAAGGCAGCACTGGCTGCTGCATCCTCACAAGCCAGAGTTGGGCCTTGGAGCTCTTGTGTAAGGGTTGTAGTTTCTCTCTAGGCTTCTGTGCAGGTGCAACAAGCTGTTCATAGGGTGTTCGTAGCCATCTGCCACTTGAGCTTATTTGGACTTCGAGACTGGCTGGCTTGTTTTCTCCTTTGGGGTGGCACAGCAGGCTCCTGTGTTGGTGGTTGGAGCTACTTTTACTGCTCGAGTGGGAAGAGGAGCAGCACACAAGAGGCTCCCAGGGGTTGGGAGACAAATCTCTTCCACAGCAGTACTGTGGTGGCTTCAGCAGCTGTGACCACATCTATACTGGAGGCAAAAATACTGCACAGTGGGAAACCGGGAGAAATAAACTAAACTGAGCCAGGGAAAATGGGCTGATGGCAAGTACATTCCCCGTCTCTTCGTCCTCCTTCATTTTCCCTGACCCTACACAGCCCATGTAAACTGTCATGGGGTTTTGTGTTTTTTCACTCTTCTTGCTTTGTTTGCTGCCTTGCTCTTCAGCTGATAAATAATAGGCACAGCCAACGAGTGATGCAACTTGTAACTGCGAGAACACACAGTTCTGCATTTTATAAACAATAATTAACTACTGCTGACTACGCCGGCCGTGAGAAGCCTGAAATGCTGATCACATCTTGCAGCTCTCACCAGGGCAGCAAAGAAAGCAGAAGTGTCAACTTTGAATTCTGCCAGGTTGTCCTTTCCAGCTAGCAAATGAACTGATAATTTAACTGATACGATGCCTAAGTGGGTGAGCGTTAAATTAGTTGTAAACAAAGACAAACTCTAGATGGCCAGCACTGACTGTTGGTTTTGTTAGTGTGCATGATTCCTTCCTCTGCCACCTCTTGAAAACACATTCTCTTGAATATGAGTATGGGCTATATTTTGACTTTATGCCCAGAAATGAACTTTGCCCACGTTTATATGGGTATCCAAAGCATCCAAATGAACAGGAAATAGCACCTCAGTACTTTTAGTTTAGTTGACGATATTGTTGTGCTTTGTGAGTGATGATACTTGCAAAATAGAAGCATGAAGATTGAACAGTTGCAAATGTCCCAGAAGTGTTTTATAATTGGGACTGTGTGGAGACGTGGGCAGCGTGGAGAAATGGATCAGCATACAGTGCAGCATTTTCCTAAAGCCACACTTGTTTTGGTAGCGCAGAGTCAAAAGTCAATTTTGCTCCTAAGTGAGGTGGCTCTGATTCAGAAGAAAGGCAGGAATCAGAGTGTGTCATCTTCTGGTAGTAGATGTCTTCTTAATGTCTTCCTTCTCTGGCTACAGCAGAGATCGTGACAAATTGAACTGACTTTTTTCAAGTCCTGTTCTTGCAAAGCAATTAGATTTTAACATCTGCATTAGCTCTTCTCTTGGCTTACCATTCCAGATTTCTACTTGAAGTCTTTATTCCTCAGATACTAGGCTGTGACTGATAATTAAATCGTTTCAAGTGCAGTATGAGTCATGTGAAACAGGGTCAGAATACATAAACGTGTATCTGGAGAGCACATTTACTCAAAGAGAACTAACACAGAAACAGCAGCAAAAAGCCCACTGCAGTTAACCACATGATTCACTTGCTCCCAGCATACTGGTAAGTATTCCTGGTTTCTCAATGGAGTACCTAAGCATCCAGCCTGCATAAACTGTGAAATGTAATTACCCTGACATATGGGAAATCTCTGGCAGGCACAGACTTGGCATGGACAGCACAGCATCACCCCGCAAAGGCCCCTGGAACTGGAGTGTATTGGAGACATGGCCAGCATGTTCCGAAAGCTCAGCTATTTCTGAGCCTCTGACTGAACAGAGTTCAATTTGCTGTGTCCCTGGAACAGCCTTTTGGCAGGATGCAGCGTATCCTTCCTTTCTCCCCATTCCTGAAGCTTTTGCACCTGAGTCAGAATTTATGGGTTTGAAGTTTCTGCTCTCTGGATCGACTCCTTTCCCTCATCTGAAAAGGGAAACTGAGCAGTAAATGTTTTCCTTTAGTCTGTGGAATTTTCCTCTTACAACCTGGCAAATCCTGGTCTGACTTTTATGTTAAAGGAAAATACTGCAGGTCATCATCTGTAACTGTGTTTCTTGATTACTTGGTAAATTAATGACAGACACGCAACTCCAAGTTAGCCTACCCACATGACTGAGCTAAGAAAATAGAACAAGTGTTGAATGTGTGACTTTAAGATTTGGGGGAGGGATAGATAACCTAAGAAATTTCCTAAATTCATGTGTGCTGGTTTGTGCAAATGCAATGCCAGCTGGGTACAACTTGAGATGTACAGTTGCAAGTTTGGATCCCAGTGTTTACAAGAAGTTCATAAAAATATTTTAACCTTAGCAAAGGACAGCTATTAAAGAGCTCTTCTCTTGTCTTCTTGCATATCTACTGCAGCACCTCTCTGTCTGGATTAAAGAAAAAACTGCAGCTTCCAAGCTTTTGGTTACAAAGCAACTCAGCACAAGTCAGTTATTGCTGTGGTCCTTAAAAGCTTTAAAGCTTGCCATGTGCCAAAGCTCTACTTAACACTGCACACCTAACTAGAGTTAACACTGTATTATTATTCATCATTTGTAAGCAAGTTAATAAAAATCTTTGATATGTGAATATGTTTTCATCTTAGAAGTTTTCCACAGTTCCTAACATGGCTTAAGTTGCCCTATTTTCACTTTAATTAAGGCTTAATTAGAAAGATGTGCTCTTTGCCTCACAACCTTACCCTGCCTTACCGTGAGATGGTAGTAAAGGTGGGGATACCACTAATGGTAAAAATAAGCATTTGCCTTTAAATCTGGCAATTTTAAGGTAAAATTTAAGCTTTGTAGAGATAGTACAAAGGACTAAAGCAAAACATTCAACTTGAACTAATTAGAGTTACTAAATCACTGTCTATGTATACCTTGGATATTAAGTGTAATTTTGGTTTCTGTAAGCTTGGGAAAAACCTCCAAAAGTATTAGGAAGCAGGATTTAAAAAACAAACAAAACAAAACCACACCAACCTAGCAACCTGCAATAGCCATAACATTTGCAGAAAGCAAGGCAGCTTCCTGCTTAAATGGATTCCAAAGATAACATACACGGAGACAGACCTGCTAGATTGAATTCTTAGTTAAGCTAAGTACAACGGACATTGCAGAAGTTGTGTTTATGCAGGCTTGGTGCATGTTTGCAGAAGGTAGCTCTTCGTTTAGCTTTAAGTAGAATTTCAAGCAGTCCTAAAACTTGGCTGGAAAGCACCATTATGTGTACAGTTGTTTCAAAGTAGTTCTTCCAGCCCAGAATGTGGTCATCAGTAAGAGGTACTTAGTTTTCTCAGGTTAGCAAGCTTTGACTTGGGAACTACATTAATTTGAAGGTGTGGCTTTGGTGACTTGGTGCTTGTTTGATGCTAAATTACGAGATAGACCAGTTTAATTCTGTACAAATTACACACACTGCATCAAGCCTTGGGTATGAGGCACTGGAAAAGGCTGCCCAGAGATGATGTGGATGCCCCATCCCTGGGAGTGTTCAAGGCCAGGTTAGGTGGGGCTCTGAGCAACCTGGTCTGACAGAAGTGTCCCTGCCCATGGCAGGGGGGTTGGAACAAGATGGCCTTTAAGACCCCTTCCAACCCAAAGCATTCTATGACTCTATGTGCAGTTCTACTCACAGTTCGTGGACTTTTTCGGGCCTCCAGCCAGTCAAGATTTAGGCTATGTCTTTGTTATGTCTGCATTCTATGTCTGCAGCAGGGGCAGAGCTGGAGAGCAATATGGTTGGTGCTGAGACCTTGACATCTTTGAAGTTTTTATTTCAGCCTAGAAATAAAAAAACCTCTTTTTCTATTCCAGCCCAGACCCTGGTCTGGTCCAGTTGAATACCCAATAAACAGGTCAACTGCAGCTAGAGGCATTCCAAGAGCTATTTCTTGCTTGAGTTTTGCTGTAAATGAATCCAGTTTTGTGCACTGAGAACACTGCACAAACAAGCCAATCATGACAAATGGTCTGCTGGCTTGGAAAGCATAGAAGAGCTCTTCGTTAAATATTAAAGTAACTAAAAATAATGTTTTATATCCTTGGTGCAGTGTTCCTGCTGGTTTCCATTCTGAAAGTGTTAATTCACAGAACCCTTAAGGTCAGTCAGTACATATAATAATCTTGACACAGTTATTCTAGGTTCTGCTCCCCCCTTTCTCCAGGTGCACAAGTCTTTTTGATGTCATATCCAAGAGAGCCATCACTAAAATTATTATGGTTGCATAGCAACCTCAATGTGATAAATAACTGGTTTAAGACAGTCTTTACCTGTGTATTTCTTTTCCAACAGGAGCCGAACAGTTTCCTACCACTGAACTCTTATGAATAAAACTCTTGAAGAAAAACATATGCAGTGTTTTATGACTAAAGAGGTTTCTTTATTCAAATATCTTGTTATTTCTAGGCACTGTCACCAAATTACTGCACCAAGTTATCTTCAAGTATGCAGTATTCCAGCACTGTAACTTCTCTGCAAACAGAACACCAAGCCCTATCTTGTCTTCCCTGCTTGGATCATCAGTTAAAGCACAACAGAAATATTCTAAGTATGAAGGCAGAAATGAACTAACACTAGTAATCCAGTTGTATTTTCCAAAAGCATTGTTTTTTTTAATATAGCCAGCTAAGTTTTCTCTACAGAAACAAAACTAAACATAGACAAAACCAAGTTATATATTCCCAGTTTATTTTATTTTTGTGGAATGCTAATTTAGTTACAATCTGGCAGTTCATAACTACTGAAATGTGACATTAATTCATCTCCAATGCTGCAGAACTGTCTTGATTTATATAGTTTTAAAACAATCTTATTTTACAATAGTTGAGGTCTCTGGTGGTTTTTAAGCTCTGATGCTTAAGCACACAGCAAGCTACAAACCTTAGGTTTTATATTTATACATATATTCTATGTATTCAGACAACTGCTGTAAGTTATCTATAATTTAATATTTATAAAAAGTGCATATACTGGTACATATGCACATCTAGAAACACACTTTTACTACTGCCTCCCTTTTATAAAAAGCTGCACAACATACAGCCATATTAATCTCACTTACTGCTATTAAAGTCCTTTACTATCTTTGTTACACAATTTCAACTATCCATTACCTCAAACTGAATGAAGGTATTTCTATATATATTTTTTCTCCTAAAGAAAAAAGTCCTCCCTATTCCTTTAAGAAGCTTTAAATCATGCATCAGTTTAGTAAACAGTCACTTTAGCATGGATTTTAGAATCCTAGACAGTGTAAAATCTACTTCTGGAAAACGTCTGTCTGTATATTTAATTTCTTCTTTTACTTACAAAAAATATATAGGATTGAAACATACTGAATACATGCATCTCTCAAAGTGGCTATATTCTAGCCTTATAGATAAATTAAAAAAGTACACCCTTGCTAACAGGATGCAAACATGGCCTCAAATAGGCCACTACCTGTATTTAATAGAGCTCATTACATTAAAAAGTTCAAGTGAGCTGTTCTCTCAAGATGGTGTCAAAAGACTGAATAGCATGATATATTTATATTCAATGTACAAAGGTGAGTGCACAGGCCTAGTGCCATTTAATTATTCAATACTTCCAAGGCTTCTAGGCTTTGCCTCTGGTGATACAAGTCCTGAAATGATCCAAATGTAAGTTAAAGTCGAAAATTGCTTTAATACACCATAAAAGCAAGTTGCGTTTAAAAGAAAAAATGTACACTGAAAAACCTGAAGTACTCACTGAAACAACTGTACAAAACTATTATAGATACAGAAAGAAATAATGGTGGACTTAACTTCAAAACACAAGTAACACTTGTTAACAAATGTAAAAACCTGCTTTGTTTTAATTCTTCTACCAAGTAAGAATTTGCAGCTGTTCAGAACAAGTAAAATTCAAACCACCTCACAATGTGTACATTTAAAGTTCTTTTATACAGTGCAAACGTTTAAGACAGAATAACTTCCCAGTGAAACAGGTGACACTACTTGGTGCCACTCTTCTAAAGATTCCTCTTTCAATAAGTCTATTTACACGTTAAGCTAAAGGTTCACTCTATATGCTTTGAACTTTGCTGAATATCAGCAGAAAAATGTGAACTAGCAGCAGTTGTATTACAAATATGTGATGGTTACTTTAACGAATGCATAAAGTTTTCAAGACTGTATTCAGTGTCATACTGCTCTTGATCCCAAAGTTCTCCAAGGTTTTCGAGTACTGATTTCATTGATGCTTTCCCAGAAGAGGTAGAGGTATCTGCTTTTTCAGTTTTCCCATCCTTTGCAAAAGAAAAAAAAAATACAGTTAATATAAAGAATAATGTTTTCAGGACTAACAAATTCTTCAAGTCTGATGATTCTTTTGGGGAAATATCACTTCCTCCTGTTTTTCAGAGAGCTGTCTACTGTTCATCAGTCCAACTTAAAGCATTCATGTGATTAAATTTTACATTTCAAAGCAAAGCTTTTCCTTAAGCTTACTCTATTTTTGGTAGGTATTTGTAAAAATGTTTCTTTACCTTGTCAAGAGTGAACAGATCAAGAAGCTGCTCTGTTCCCATGCTCTGTAAGCTTGCATTTTCTTGGCTGATCACTGTATTTGCAATATTCATTTTGAACTTTTGAAGACCCATGATCTTCTCCTCCAGAGTTCCCCGGGTTATCAGGCGATACACATTAACAACTCGTTTCTGAAAGAAAAAGCACACACTTAGCTATAAAGTATCTCCTAGGTATTTAGGAGAGCATAAGCGTTCAGCGTTCATCATGGACAGTCTAGAAGCAGTTTGGCTTGGAGTTACCCTTCAGTAACTGTACTCAGTAAGTCTGACAAACACTAGATGAAAAGAATATGCCAGTGTATAGTAGAGGCATCTTCAACTGCATCTGTACTTTGGAAGACTTCACTGCTTTTTACAGCTGTACAGGAAGACTAACAGCAGTCATTCTTTCCCCGTTCAAGCCTGTGGGGCTTCCCTTCAGTTCTCTGCCCTCAGTCACATCTCTTCCTCTGCTGAAGGGTGATTCTTTCCTGGCCTCCCCTCAGCAGCTCAGGAAGTATAGAGAAGGCGGCATACCAATTTGGAGATGGAATAAGAAAGTACACACTTCAGCATCTGGCATATTTGCAAGAAATCAGCATGAACGGAAGCTTGGCGGAAACCCACAGATGTCACTTTTTATACGCTACAATCAATCGTACCCAAATTCAAGTTCAGCAAGAAAAAAACCACACTTATGGGAAATGAAGAGGTTTTCACCTGCCCAATGCGATGTGCCCGATCCATGGCTTGCAGGTCTCTCATTGGGTTCCAGTCATGTTCCACAAATACTACTGTATCAGCCCCTGTTAAGTTAAGTCCCAACCCACCAACATGAGTGGTGAGCAAAAGAACATCTATAGATGGGTCATTATTAAACCTGCATACAAGAAAAAGTTAAGTATGGTTAAGTTTCATTTAAATAAAGAATGTATGAGTTTTAACTGCTTTGAGGTAGACAAAAGAACAATTATGCACCATATAAATAATACAGTTCATTACATTTGGCCCCATATGGTTATGAGGGGATAACACGTACCGTGAAACAATGGAATGCCTCTGACCAGCAGGTATGCTGCCATCTAGTCGTAAGTAAGTCACTGAAGGTAACTGAGGTCTGAGAAGGTCATGCTCCACTATATCCAGCATACTTTTAAGTTGGCAGAAGATAAGTACTCTGTGCTGGGCCACTACAGCTTCTGTACCGCTTTCTGAAGATCCACCATTCCCCAAACCACAATCTAGCAGCAGCTTAAAGTAACAGAGCATTGAAGTGTATTATCAGAATGGCAGTAGATCTCATTTAAGTATTGACATTCATGGACTATCAAAAGTAAAAATGGGGGAAACTACAGAAGGAAGCCTGTGACAGTCACTTAAATAACATAAGGCAAAGTCTGGTTTCACTGTAAAACTATAAAAAAATTAAGCACTGACAGAAAAGTAATTTTCTTTGTTTAGCTTTACTTACAGTAGAATTTAAGTAAGTAATAAAATTTAACTTTATCAAGGTAATAGTGTCCTTTATAATACATATGAGACAATTTTTTCTGCAACCAGAAAGACAGAAATAAAACAAAATAAAAGGTTTCCAATATGGCAGCAAAAATTATGTAAACATCATCACCTTGAAGTAAGATTGTGCTCCCCCTTCCCCCTTGAATTATCAGGAAAAATATACCTGGAATACCCTTGTACTCTTTTCCATTTGCTACTTAATTTTATTAAGAAGAGTTTTCATACTGATAAAATCTTAAATAAAACCTTCTAAGTTATAACATCAGTAGAGACATTTAGAAAATTTAAAGGCACAATCACATGTCTACTTACTTGTTTTAAAGCAGACAGTTTAGGTGCATGTTGGATATCTCGAAGGGATGAATTCTGAGCTGCAAGTTGCTCTGTAATTCTTTTATATTCTGGATGTTGGGTTGTTAGCACTAAGGCTGGATGGTTGCATAGCTTCCGTAAGTATTGCAATGCCTTTATTTAGGAAGTGAAGGTCAAAGAAATGGTTAGCAAGAATGTAGATCCAGAAAGAGGATGAACAAAATTGCCTGTAAGTACAGGGGCCACTCAGCTACATTTCAGAATCTAGATCTTATGGTGTATTTTCATGAAAATAAAGTTGGACATTTACATTAATAAAACCTGTATTTCAAATTGTATCCAATAACCGTTACATGCATAGTAATCTTAGTCCCTGTTGCAGGAGAAGTGCAAAGACTAACATCTCCCACACTTTCACCTGAGTGTGCAATAGAGGAGGTGGGTTTGGGAGCAGTGCAGAGCCTTTGAAAATTGATGTTTCCAATTAGCCAAGACTTAATCTGCAATTCTGTAAGATCACAAACCTTCATAAATTCAGATCTAACCTTAAGGAAATTTTTGTCCGTGTTTTAG